CCTCCCTCCCTTTCCACCACCGCATCCCCCTCCCCGCTCCCAGTTATCACTCATGGATGAGCGGACCAATTACGGCGAGGAATGGCAACTCAATCGATACGCAGAGCTCCACTTCGCTACCCTCCATCCCTCTCTCCAGTTCCTCCCCCTACTCCTCCTTTTACTCTCTCTCTCTCCCTCTCTCTCTGTTTCTTTTGTCGATGCAACCGAGATTCATTCGCGGCGAGACGGTGATTGTCATTATTGCTGTTGTTGTTTGCGCGCCCCGATGGGCACGCCAAGATATTGCGCCCCCCCCCCTCTCCCTCGCGTCCCTTTTTCCCAAACCCTCCCCCTACCCCCCCGCCCCCGCGAGCAGCCGACCGGCAGCCAAGCGTTCATAAGTAATGAACAGAAAGGGAAGGCAAGGAAAGGGAAGGGCGCCGTCAGCGCGGGCCAGCAGCGCCAGCAGCAGGGCACGGCGCACACACCGCAAAAATAAATAAAGGTGGAAAAGTTATTGGCAGATCATGTTATGCGGGCACTGGGCGGCGGCGTTGCCGAAAGCACGGAAAACAAAACAAAAAAGAAAATGTTGTGAAGGATGCTAGGGTCGGGAAACTGTGCTGTACAACGCACCAGGTGTGAAGGTTCTGGAGTTTCGCGGTTGAGATTTAAATATTTTTACCGCCACGGGCTACTGAAATAAGGCAAACGAAAAATAAGTTTCTAACAAAAAGTTGAAAACGAATGGAGGGGGAAGTGCTGCTTGCTTCCCCTTACCTGGTGTGCACAGTTTAACTCGGAGCAAGTTTACTCGACTCTTTGGATGCCCCACCCTTTCCTGCCCTCCCCCCGTCCAGTCAACGCCGACAGGGGCGTATGTACCGGTACGTCGCTTCTAGCCAGGGTCGGACGGGACTTTGAGGCGGCCGAGTCCGCCCCACCACAGCTCTTGGCAATTTAAAAGAGTCTCCATAAAGCAAGCAGGCAGGGCGGGAGGACGCGGCGTGTCTAACAAGCCGCCGCACAGCCTCCGGGACCAACAGGACGGACGTGGCTGGACCAGGGGAGGCAGGCAAAGAAACAGCCGAGGCACATACAGTGCATGAGGTGCCGGCTGCTGCAGTGCACCCCTGGTTGTGTTAACACCGTTAACACAACCAGTGGTGTGTATGGTCCTTCCTGGAAACACAGAACCGAATAACCTCATACCTCCCTGGGCCTTCGGCAAAACATGACGAGAGGGGAAGGGTAGAGAGAGAGAGAGAGGAGGGGGGGGGGCGAGTATGTAGGACCTCGTTAAAACAGCTCAAGCGCCGGCGGCGCCCCCAGACAAACCTGAGCCCCACAAAGAGGTGCGCGTATTCTGTCTCATGCACATACACACACACACACACACACACACACACACGTCCCTGTACAGCCACAAGTACGAAGAGAACCAAGCCACTGCTGTGTGTTCCATTCCAGCATAAAGGTTGGGATTTCTTCTCCCCCTCACCCCTTTCTTCACTTAGCTCTATCTTTCCGTAATGCTTTCACTATTTTTAAATCGTTTCTACGTCCCCGCTCTCTGTTACTCTTGTGACACTCCCAGATACACACACACACACACACACACAGAGAGAGAGAGAGAGAGAGAGAGAGAGAGAGAGAGAGAGAGAGAGAGAGAGAGAGAGAGAGAGAGATAATATGGTGGGAAGAGCTCGAACAAACCTCATTTCTTTCGAGCTGCATCCCTCCGATATCCCTATTCGCTTATTCGTGTTTCGGCTACTCTCGCCCCGTTTCGGTCGAAGCGCTGCTGTTGGGCATTCCCTCTCTACACTACGGTCGCTTCCACGCGTGTAAGTTCCATGGGGGAAGAGCGAGCCCTTCTCCAGCTCTGGGTAACGGCGTCTAGGGCGTCGCGACGCCCTCCAGTGTGACCCGCGCCGTTTGTCTGGCGCCGTGCACCCCCCACCCCTGATCCTCACCCCACCCCTTCCCCCTCACAGCCCCGCCAAGGAGATTACGTGGCCTTTGTGTGAGTAAGGGGGGAATTGGGGGAAATGAAGGTGAAAGTTGGTGAAGAGGCTGGCTGGCTGCTGTCAAGAGAGGGGGCGGGGCGGGGTGGGGGCGCTCCCCGCGGAGGGTCGGGAAAAGGGATGAGCTCACGGCTGCGCTGGAAGCAGCGAGAGTTGGAAACGGGGACACAACTACGAATGACACCGAACGCCCAAAATAACGCGTCGTCGTGGAAATTCATTCACTGCCTTTCTTTGAGAAATAGGACAAATAGTGTTAACACGTTCAGTACGGAGCTAAATAGAAAGGGGTTTGAATTTCAACCTTGAGTTAATACGTCAGTTTCAAACGACCTAGAGGCAACCCCAAAATAAAAAAAAATGAGCAAAAACATCCACAATGACCATGAGACGCAACGCTGGGTAGGCAGCGTCTATGAGGGCTGTTGGTTGGGCCTGCCTACCCAGCGCCTGCAGAGGGCCGCCGCGCTGGATAGGCAACGACCCCACAGGCCTGTTGGTCGGGCCTGCCTACCCAGCGCCTGTAGAGGAACGCCGTGCTGGATAGGCAACGACCCCACAG